AAACTGCTGATAGAAATAATTGATGTGAATGACAATGCCCCGGAAATATCTGTGACGTCACTCATGACCCCAGTAAAAGAAGATGCAGAAATGGGCACAATAGTTGCTTTGGTTACAGTAAGTGATAAAGATGGAGGAAGCAATGGTGTGACTAACTGTAAGGTAGTGGGATCTTTTCCTTTTAAGCTGAAGTCCAACTACAAAAATGACTATTCATTAGTAGTAGATGGAGCACTGGACAGAGAAAACATTTCTCTTTACAATGTCACAATTACAGCAACAGATGAGGGAAATCCACCTCTGTCCAGTATCAGAGTCATTACTGTTCATGTGTCTGATGTCAATGATAATGCACCTCGATTTATGGAGCCTGTGATTAATGTTTATGTGAAAGAAAACAGTGCAGTAGGCTCAGTTATTCATACAATACGGGCCTTTGATCCTGACTTAGACAGAAATTCACAGCTGACTTATAAGTTGTTAGATAGTTCCCCAAAAAATATTCCTATTTCATCCGTTTTAAACATCAACTCAGAGACTGGAGATATAGTCAGCCTGCAGTCTTTTAACTATGAGGAGTTAAACACGTTTCAGTTTAAAGTCCAGGCCACAGACTCTGGTGTTCCTCCTCTCAGCAGCAACGTGACTGTGAACGTTTTAATTCTGGATGAAAATGACAATAATCCAACAGTCCTCGCGCCCTATTCTGAGCACGGCTCCGTTAACAGTGAGAGCATCCCCTATTCTGCTGAGGCGGGATACTTTGTGGCAAAGATCAGGGCTGTAGACGCAGACTCTGGATACAATGCGCTGCTTTCGTATCACCTCTCTGAGCCCAAAGGAAACAACCTCTTCCGGATTGGAACCAGTAGCGGAGAAATCAGGACTAAGAGGAGAATGAGTGACAATGACCTGAAAACTCACCCCTTGGTGGTGTTGGTTTCTGATAACGGAGAACCCTCCCTGTCAGCTACTGTGTCTATTGATGTGGTGGTGGTTGAGAGCACAGCTGACATCCAGACTCAGTTCAGACATGTGCCCATACAGGAGGAGAGCTTCTCTGATTTGAACCTGTATCTGCTGATCGCCATTGTGTCGGTGTCAGTGATCTTTCTGCTGAGCCTCATCAGTTTAATAGCTGTCAAATGCCACAGGACAGACGGCAGTTTCAGCAGGTACAGCGCCCCAATGATCACCACCCACCCTGACGGGAGCTGGTCTTACTCTAAATCTACTCAGCAGTATGACGTGTGTTTCAGCTCAGACACAATGAAGAGTGACGTAGTGGTTTTCCCCGGACCGTTTCCGCCTGTAGATGGTGAACTGATCAGTATTAACGGAGGAGACACGTTTACCAGAACTCAGACTTTACCCAACAATGACAAGGTGAGTTGTTTGCAGTCTCAATCATTTTTCCTTGACTTGCAAACATAACAGAAATTCAGAGATTCAACAAAACAGTATATAATTTGCATTTTAAGTGATAGCAGGCCTGTAATTAGTTGTTAAACAGAGGAAATGTCATTCATGTAGATTTGTAGAGAATGTTGTCACTGGCAGTAATTTGTCAACTTTAATTTGATATTTTTCTCTTTACTCAACTGGTACAAAGCAGACCTTTGATTAAAACTAAAGGTATAATATATTTCACGTGTTGTAATATTAGACATACGGGGTGCTACTTCATTCTTAAAATTATATTCTGAATTGTAACACGTGGGGTCGCCGATGACCACAGTTTTTTCTGAGCTCGGTGTTTTCAGTCTCCTCCTTCCCGTGTGAAGCGTCAGCAGACAGCGAGTGCTTTGTGAGAGAAACACGAGTGGCGATGAAAAGGAGAGGACTGGAGTAGATGGGAATACAATGCTGGCTAATCACGAAGCTTTTTATGGATACATATTATTTGTATCACGGAACTATCTTTGAAAGCAACGATGGGCATCGGAAGGAATAACGGATTACTCTGTTGGCTGTTAGTCTTGTTTTTGTCGGACTGGTCTGCTGCTCAGACATCCTACACTGTTTCCGAGGAGGTGGACAAAGGGACTGTAGTGGGGAATCTCGCAAAGGATTTAAACGTCAACTTCCGAGAGCTGCAAACAAGGAATCTAAATATCGTGTCTGGGTACAGTAAGAAATATTTCGAGGCCAATTTTAAAACGGGGGATCTTATTGTTAATGAGCGAATAGACCGCGAGGAGCTTTGTCCAAACACGATGAAGTGCACGCTCAATTTAGAGGCTATTCTTAGTAATCCTATGGTGCTTCGTCGCATTGAGGTGGTTATTGTTGATTTAAATGACAACACACCGACATTTGTCGAGAAGTCATATTCGCTTAACATATCTGAATCATCACCTACGGGTGAACGCTTCTTGCTTCCCCTGGCTCTTGATGCAGATACCGGAGGCAATTCAGTGAAGTCTTACAGGCTCAATCAAAACGAATACTTCTCCTTAGATGTGCAGAGCGGTGGAGAACATAGTGCATCTGCTGAATTAGTGCTACTGAAAGATTTAGATCGTGAAAAACAAGCTGTTATTAAATTAACGCTGACTGCTATAGATGGAGGAAAGCCTCCAAAAACCGGAATCCTATACATACATGTAAATGTTCTCGACGTAAATGATAATACGCCGTCATTCAGTAAAACACTTTACAAGGCACGGGTTAATGAAAATGTGCAAGCTGGGTCACTAGTTATTCCACTGAGTGCCACAGATTTAGACGAGGGGGACAACGGGAAGCTTGGTTATTCTTTTGTCAAGCGTGGAAACTTTAATCCTGCAGATATGTTCAACATTAACGCACAGTCTGGAGAGATCACAGTCAAAGGAAAGTTGGATTTCGAGGCACAATCAGCATATGAAATTCATGTGCAGGCAAAAGATCAGGGTGTTTCGCCTCGTAGTGCAAGTGGAAAGCTGCTGGTAGAGGTAGTCGATGTAAATGACAATGCCCCGGAAATTGTGGTGACGTCACTCATGAATCCCGTTAGAGAAGATGCTGCAATAGGAAGCGTTGTCGCTTTAGTGACGGTAACCGATCAAGATGGAGGAAAAAACGGCCAGACACACTGTAGACTTATTGGTTCTGCACCTTTCAAACTGACTTCCAATTATAACAATTATTATTCTTTAGTTGTCGATGGAGCTCTTGATAGAGAAGGGTGCTCTTTTTACAATGTGACGATCAAAGCTGCTGATGAAGGGACCCCTCCTCTTTCCAGCATCAGCGTTATTACTGTTCAGGTTTCTGATGTAAATGATAATGCACCTGGTTTCATTGAACCCGTGATTAATATTTATATAAAAGAGAATAGTCCTGTTGGAGTTTGTATATATAAGATAACTGCAGTCGATCCTGACGTAAACGAGAACGCGAGAGTAACATACTCTTTAGATGGTGATTCAAAAAGTATTCCGATAACTTCAGCTGTAAATATCAACTCGGAGACTGGAGATATAATAACCTTGCAGTCTTTTAACTATGAGGAGTTAAAAACGTTTCAGTTTAAAGTCCAGGCCACAGACTCCGGTGTTCCTCCTCTCAGCAGCAACGTGACTGTGAACGTTTTAATTCTGGATGAAAATGACAATAACCCAACAGTCCTNGAGAGCATCCCCTATTCTGCTGAGGCGGGATACTTTGTGGCAAAGATCAGGGCTGTAGACGCAGACTCTGGATACAATGCGCTGCTTTCGTATCACCTCTCTGAGCCCAAAGGAAACAACCTCTTCCGGATCGGAACCAGTAGCGGAGAAATCAGGACTAAGAGGAGAATGAGTGACAATGACCTGAAAACTCACCCCTTGGTGGTGTTGGTTTCTGATAACGGAGAACCCTCCCTGTCAGCTACTGTCTCTATTGATGTGGTGGTGGTTGAAAGCACAGCTGACATCCAGACTCAGTTCAGACATGTGCCCATAAAGGAGGAGAGCTTCTCTGATTTGAACCTGTATCTGCTGATCGCCATTGTGTCGGTGTCAGTGATCTTTCTGCTGAGCCTCATCAGTTTAATAGCTGTCAAATGCCACAGGACAGGCGGCAGTTTCAGCAGGTACAGCGCCCCAATGATCACCACCCACCCTGACGGGAGCTGGTCTTACTCTAAATCTACTCAGCAGTACGACGTGTGTTTCAGCTCAGACACAATGAAAAGTGACGTAGTGGTTTTCCCCGGACCGTTTCCGCCTGTAGATGGTGAACTGATCAGTATTAACGGAGGAGACACTTTTACCAGAACTCAGACTTTACCCAACACAGACAAGGTAGGCAATATTGTGCTGAATGCTAGAGGAACTTCACAATGGTATCATGCAAAACACTGAAATGTTATACCTGTTTAGACATCATAATATTTACAATATTTAGATAAATAAAAAGGTGAGTTTTTTAAACCCAAGAGTAGATTTAGTTCTGTTGATTTATTCATTACATTTCTGAAAGAAGTGTTATGAGATTACCAGATGTTTTATTAATGCAACATTTGCTGACTTTCTGTGAAAAATGATGTGAAACAAAATAGTTATTTTGGGGGATATACAGTTAAATCATCAATTTCACCTGCGAGATTATGTTGAATTCTCTTTACAGTTGCTGAATAATAGCATTTTAGGCAGAGAGGTGAAGTCTTAGTTGGTTGAACTTGTTCTGTCATTCTGGTGACGAGTAGTGACGCTGTCTGGTGCTGAACCCTGCATGGTGTGTTTGCGGTTACTTGTTTAATGCCAGGCCCTGGTTTCTTTGTAAAATAGATTTTATATATAGTGTTCTAATGAAAATATTTTTTTCAGGGCACCATTTAGGCTTTATTTGATTTTGTTCTTCTAACCTTTTATGCTCTTAACTTGTTTTTATTACCATATTTTAATCAATATGTTCCTTAGATAACTTTTTATTTTATTGTATTTTTTTATACTTTGAGATGACGTTGTTCTTATAGTGTGCTATATAAATAAAATGCATTATTATTATTATTATTATTATTATTATTATGTATTATAGAATTTTCGTGTCTGAATATTTTAGCACCAAAATGTCAGTTGGTGTCGCTCGAGACCGCAGTATTTGTGTGGCTATTTGTTCACAGACTCCTCCTCTTCTTATGAAGCTTCAGTAGTCCACCAGTGCTTAGTCAGAAAATACGCTCATGGTTACAGGACAACGGGGGGCTTCATATGTTATTCTCCTAAAGCGCGTGGAGGTGTTCGGAATGTATTCTTTATTTTATTCTGTGGCAGCGATGGGACGGGAAGGACTAACAGTGACTATTTGGATACAGATAATAGCTTTGCTTTGTTCGTGTGAACGGTCTGCAGCGCAGCTGTCTTTCTCCGTTTCGGAGGAGGTCGACAAAGGAACAGTAGTGGGAAATCTCGCCAAGGAATTACAGATTAATGTTCACGATTTGGAAAAACGGGATTTACGAGTTGTGTCTGGGAATATCAAGAAATATTTCGACGTGGATTTAAAAACTGGTGCTCTTTATGTCTACGATAGGATTGATCGTGAAGAGCTCTGTCCAAATACGGCAAAATGTTCCCTGAATATAGAAGCCATTCTGAGCACCCCAATGCATTTGCATCGCATCGAGGTACACATCATTGATACTAATGATAATGCACCATCTTTTCGAGAAAAAGAAAAGATTTTCAATGTTTCGGAATCTTCTTCAACCGGGGAGAGATATTTACTCCCAGTGGCAAATGACGCAGACACCGGTAGTAACTCGGTAAAGAGCTACACGCTGAGTCCTAATGAGTATTTCTCACTGGACGTACAGAGCGGCGGACAGCACAGTGAGTCAGCCGAACTTGTGCTACAGAAATCTTTAGACAGAGAGAAACAGGCTGTTATATACCTTACTTTAACTGCTCTAGACGGAGGAAAACCTGCACGCTCAGGGACCTTAAAAATAGTGATGCATGTAATGGACATTAACGACAATGCTCCGATATTTAGTAAACCTCTCTATAAGGCTCAGGTGACTGAAAATGCTCCATTTCAGACATCCATACTGACTGTAACTGCAACAGATTTAGATGAGGGAATAAATGGTGAGATGATGTATTCATTTATTGAGAGGGGGAATTTCAATCCTGAAGTTTTATTCTCAATAAACCCAGACACAGGAGAAATAACAGTTAAGGGAAAAGTTGATTATGAAGAGAATACAGCATATGATATTCGTATACAGGCGAGAGATAAAGGTACGCCTTCTAGAAGCGTGCATGGTAAAGTGTTAGTGGAAGTTACTGATGTTAATGACAATGTACCTGACATTATTATAACCGCTCTTATGAGCCCAGTTAAAGAGGATGCTGAGGTGGGTACAGTGGTGGCTTTAGTGACAGTCACTGATAAAGATGGAGGTAATAACGGTCTCACCAATGCTAAAATCATTGGGTCAGTGCCTTTTAAACTCAAGCTTAACTATAAAAATTATTATTCATTGACAGTCGATGGACTTCTTGATAGAGAGATTGTTTCTCAATATAATGTCACGATCATAGCCACTGATGAAGGCAATCCACCTCTCTTCAGCACCAGTGTTATTCCTGTTCACATTTCTGATGTGAATGACAATGCCCCATTATTCTCAGAGCCTGTGATTAATGTGTATGTGGCTGAGAATAGTCCAGTGGGAGCTACTATCTTTACTATAACAGCAGTTGATCCTGATTTAGGAGAACATGCGAAAGTAACATATTCATTATTAGATGGCACTACAACAACTATTTTACTAGCTTCTGTAGTAAACATCAACTCAGACTCTGGAGATATAGTCAGCCTGCAGTCTTTTAACTATGAGGAGATACAATTGTTTCAGTTTAAAGTCCAGGCCACAGACTCTGGTGTTCCTCCTCTCAGCAGCAATGTGACTGTGAACGTTTTAATTCTGGATGAAAATGACAATAATCCAACAGTCCTCGCGCCCTATTCTGAGCACGGCTCCGTTAACAGTGAGAGCATCCCCTATTCTGCTGAGGCGGGATACTTTGTGGCAAAGATCAGGGCTGTAGACGCAGACTCTGGATACAATGCGCTGCTTTCGTATCACCTCTCTGAGCCCAAAGGAAACAACCTCTTCCGGATCGGAACCAGTAGCGGAGAAATCAGGACTAAGAGGAGAATGAGTGACAATGACCTGAAAACTCACCCCTTGGTGGTGTTGGTTTCTGATAACGGAGAACCCTCCCTGTCAGCTACTGTGTCTATTGATGTGGTGGTGGTTGAAAGCACAGCTGACATCCAGACTCAGTTCAGACATGTGCCCATACAGGAGGAGAGCTTCTCTGATTTGAACCTGTATCTGCTGATCGCCATTGTGTCGGTGTCAGTGATCTTTCTGCTG